GACTTTTTCGGGAAAACCGGTCTTCGGGTATCTAGGCATGGTTAAATTTGGTTCTTGTGAACCGGTTTTTTTGCTACTACAAGAAACACACATATTACCTGCGGATTTTCCTGCGGAAAGTTTCCGCAGCCGTACCTGCGATTTCACCTGCGCCTTTATATTGTAAAACTTTATTTCCTGCGAAAACTAATGCAGCAGCAACTTTCGCAGGAATTCCAGAGACTTTAGCTGTGATTTTAGATTTAAAAGTAAAATGTAAATTTCCTACGGATTTAACTGCGATAATTTTCGCTGGAATTAGTTGACCATTGAGTCCACAAAATTCTCTGGAAATATCGCAGAAATTGCTGCGAAGTTTGCTGCGAATTTGTTGTAAATTGTTCTGCGACTTTTGCTGCGAATTGTTTAATTTATTTTTAGTTTTTATTATGTTTTTACTGTTAATAAATAAAGTTATAAAACAAATAATGATTTCAAAAATATGTTGTTGAGACATTTTCTAATTTTATAGTAAACCTTTGTTTTTCTTAAGAAAATTTTATAATATTAATTGAGTTTTTTTGTTATTTTTTTAAAAAAATTTATTTATTTTGTACTTTTTTATTGTTGTAAAAATTAGAAAAATAAAAAACATAAATTTATTTATTTAATAATTTTTTATTGTTGTAAAAATTTAAAAAAAATCAAAAATTTAAATTTATGATATAATTGTAAAAATATAAGTTTATGATATAATTGCAAAAATATAAATTTATTTATTTAATTATATTTTTACTATTATTAAATAAATTTATAAAATATAATTGACATATTGATTTTTTAGATTTATATATATATATATATATATATATATATATATATATATATATATATATATATATATATATATATATATATATATATATATATATATATATATATATATATATATATATATATATATATATATATATATATATATATATATATATATATATATATATATATATATATATATATATATATATATATATATATATATATATATATATATATATATATATATATAAACAAATCTATTTTAAAATAATTTTTACAATAATTTTTTTTTTGCTTTATTGAATAGTAATAGGTTTTGTTTAAATTTTATCAAAAATTATTTTTTATCTATTTTTTAGATTTATTTTCTTTAAGATGATTTTAGTACATATTATTCTTATTTAAGACATTTTTTTAAAAAAATATTTATAAAATTAGAATGATATTTTTAATCTCTATTTGTTCTATTTTATTAATTATTTTTAATGTGAATTGCAAAAAAATTTAATTTTAAATTAAATTTTAATAATTAATCTAAATTTATTAAAGAAAATATTAATTTTACTTAATATATTTATTTTTTGTTTTTGTGAAATTAAAAAATATAATGTTATATATTTTTAATCCCATAAAATTAATAAAAGGAATAATTTTTTTGAAATTACTACAAGTATTCTTATGATTAAAACAAAGGCTATTTTGATTTCTCCACACTTCGTAGGGTGTTTCAACTAAGGCCACCCTGAGAACCTTTCTTCTCTAGCATTTCTTTTTCACTTCATCCAGGAGCCATTTCTTTTCATCATTCTAAGTTGTTGCTTTCCTTTTATACCCTACTCAGCTTAGGACTTCCTCCCATATCTAGCCTGTGGTTTTGCAGTCAAATTGGAGATGCTCAAGAGTCTCATTTTGGTGACAAAAGGCACATGTATCGTCTGTTACAATGCCAAACCTGCATAACCTGTCTTTTATGGTTAATCTACCCATAAGAGGAAGCCATAAGATGAATTGAGCCCTTGGTCTAGCATAGTTGTCAATCAGGATGTGATTCCAAGGTTCATTATCTTTTTCACCCCTCAAATCCCTATACATCATGGCAGTTTTGCCTTGTACCTTCCACTTTATCTATTGTCTTCATGATGCCTTTATCGCACTCTAAGTGTTTGATAAAATGTCTGTGTGTTTTTAATATATTTTACGAAATTCCTTTATTGCACTCTAAATGTTTGATGAAATGTTTCTGTGTTTTGGTTGGGGAATTTAAAGACCGAGTTCAATTTGAATTTCAGAAGTTCAGAATGTTGCTCAAATCCACCAACACTGAATCCAAATGCAGGATCTGGTCACGTTGATAAGATTGGTGCTTTCAATGTCTACATCACCGGGTCTCCAAACTCCAACTCCACTGTTCTGCTCGTGTCTGATATATTTGGTAACATATTCCATTTGTTTTATTTTTTAGAGCGTGGAAGGCGGCTTATAGCAAAGACTCTCATTTTATTTTTGCATTCTTGAATTTTTATATAGTTTTTGAGATTATGAAATTCATACCAGAGTAAATATATTCAGTATTGACCAAAAGTTTGTACTGACTGCATATGCCTAATTTTTCTTGCAGGATATGAGCCCCCAAATTTTAGGTATGGTTGATTCTCGGGTCTATCTTATTTTGTAATTTTTGAAAGTTTAGTTATTTGTTTCAATAATTTTTTTTGGCGTCATTGTATATATTTTAATTGATGAGAATTTGTGAAGGTTGCTGACCTCTTTAAATTGTAATTCCTCGTTTTCTTCCGATAGCATATATCAATTTCAGTTTCAGTAGGTATATATTATCTTTACCAAAAGATAATCTACATGCAAACTAGAAGGGACATATTTGTGTAATTTAATTATAGTAGATTTTTAATAGGAAATGCATTTGTCATATGCGCTCTTGCTCCCTTTATTGTGTCCATTGTAATGTAAACTCCGGTTAATGTTAAGTTATATTGTTTGTTTTCTGCCATGAAGGAAGCTTGCTGACAAAGTTGCAGCAGCTGGTTATTACGTGGTTGTTCCAGACTTCTTTAATGGTGAAGTTGGGTTCCGGCGAGTTTGCGGTAAGGAAGTTCTGGTGACCGCCTTAAAACTAGCTGATTGAGACGATACACCGAGCCAACCTGCATCCTTTAATTATAATTACTAATTAGTAATGAAATTTAAAAATTAAGTACTTATGAATATTGTTTAGAAAATCATGTAGAATAATATAAAATTCCATGTGGACTAATATTTGTTTAGAAAATAATAAATAATGAAAAGTGCATGCATATGTCTTGAAATGAATATATATCTCTAGTTAAAGCAATGATGATGATGTATGGAAGAAAAAGAGTTCTATTTAGAGAACGTGTTTTGCATATAAATTGGGTATCAGTAGCATTCACGTGGTACCAATTGTTTTGGTGCATTACTTTATTCAATTTGTTAGATGCATATTGTAGTTGAGGTGGTGTATTATATTATACATAATTTTGTTGAATTTGATGGGTGATTATAACTGATACGGGTGTTTAGTATAACGGCCAAACCATTGCTGTAACTTGTAAGCACATGATTAGGAAAACTAGGTAATATAATAGTGTAATCTTGAACATGGTTTTAGAGGTAACCGTTTGGCGTGAAGCTATGATTTTTTTAAACATTCACGCCAAACATTGAAGTAATATAACTTATTTTGTGGTATTTTTTTAAACATTGAAGTGTATCTATGTATGCCAAAATTTGATTCTAGAACTGCAATGGATATAAATGTTTTAGTTGCATTGTTTGAAGCCTCTCAATTAAGCATCGTTGGGTGATGAAGGATTGTTAGAGTTCACTCCCGATAAAAAGTCTAAATGGGCAATGATATATCAAGAAATGGAATTGGACGGGCACAATAATTATATTGATACTGAACATAAGGAGAGATTACGTAATACTAATACGCTAATAGCTATTGAGTTGATCGGGAGGTTTTTGCAGGATAAGACTTCTTCGAGGATTCTTTGCCTGGCTCAGAAAAATTTGTATGTATTTGTAATTCGTAATATTTATATTTTTCCTTCACATTTGTTGAAGTTGATAAGATTCTGAAATTTCCTATCAATTCAATTTAGCATATGATTCACAATTTTTCATTTTCGCTTCCTTTTTTTTATCAGGCCTGCACATTGGCGAAGTTTTGTTCAACGGCTGCAGCTGCTGGGAGCTAATTCATCAGCATTGAGAAAATCAAAAACTCTAATTGCCGATATGCTTAGGCATTTAACTTCAGATACTTATATGGTATTGTCTAAACAATACAAAACAACTTCGCAGTAAAAGTTGAGTAAAGTTACGGATTTTGAATATCTTTCTTCTTCTGCATCGTCGTTTCATGGTGCAACTCATTCTGCACTTTGGATTCCACTTGATTTGGTGCTGGAGGATACAATGGATGTCTATCAAGTTAGTGCAACAAGTGCCGTTGAAGAAATTAGTGGTAAGACCGTGGAATACATATTGGAATTTGTCTGAAATGCTAATTTGTCCTTTTAACTTTAATTTAAGTTCTCGTATTTTAAGTCGGTGTTGTTGGCCGTACAGGAAGTGGAAAATCAACACTGATTTAAGTTTTATTTAGATTGATTAAGCCTTCCGCTGGGAATATAATCATTGATGGTATCAACATTTCCACCATCGGCCTTCATGATTTAAGGCCGCGTTTTGGAATTATTCCACAAGATCATGTCCTCTTTCAAGGAACAGTTAGAACCAACATTGATCCTCTTGGACTGTATTTAGAAGATGAAATCATGTCCGCTGTCCGCTGTCCCTTTTTCATGTCCGCTGTCCCTTTTTCACTCACTCCCAAGTAACTCTTTCTCTCTTTATTCTTTAATAACACCTTTTTCAGTAACTAGTGTTTTTCAGTAACTAGTGTGTATCCCGTTTCGCATCAAAATGATACCAAGTATCTGTAACTGTCAAAGTTGTGGATGTCTAAGTCAAGAAGTGATGGAATAAGGCTTGGTTGCTGTTATATGGATCTAAATTGTTAGCTTTGAAATTTTTCCATTGGAATGTTATTTGTTTGCTCATTCATTTTGCCAATAGGGAACTCACTCAACAAAAACTATTAGTGAAGTCAGCAGGATTGTGAGAAATTCTTGGAACCAAAAGGTAAGCATTATAACATGTTTGCTGCGGATCAGGATTATTACGGCGAGGGGAAGAATGTGGTTTTATGTATGGTGCCCATGCATCACGTGATGGGATTGGCCGTGATAACGTACACATATATGCGGAGAGGGAATACTGTGGTGTCAATGGTTAGATTTGAACTGGAGAAAGCTTTGGCAACTATGGAGAAGTTTAGGGTGACACATTTGTCTATTGCTCCACCGGTGATGGTGGAGCTCGTTAAGTGGCGTCAAGTTGTGGGCCGTTATGACTTGTCGCCCCTGAAGAGACTCGCTTGTGGTGCCGCTCCTTTGGAAAAAGATGTGATGAAGGAGTGTGCTAAGATTCTACCTCAAAATAAAATTGTTCAGGTATAGCTAAGAATAATTTAAAATTTTAAAATATTTGTGTTTTTTCAATAGAATAAGAACCCAGATAATTTATTTGAATATTTTATTGAATTTTTGTGGCAGGGGTATGGCTTGACAGAAGCATGTGGACTTGTTTCCGTAAAAAATTCAAGGGAAGAATGGTTCATTTGTGGTTTAGGTTCAAGTGGAGCACTGCTTTCAAGTGTAGAATCTAAAATTGTTAGTTTAGAAACATCGAAGACCCTACCACCGAATCAAGTAGGAGAGATTTGGTTACGAGGACCTACTATGATGAAAGGTAAGATCTTTAATACTTGTCTACTTTATATTAAAATTAATATGATTCTGATTAGAATCTATATTGCATACTTTTTTAGGATATTTCAAAAACCCAGAAGCAACAAAGCACACGATTAATGATGAGGGATGGATGGTTACAGGAGATCTTGAATATTTTGATGAAAAGGGACATCAAAATTATAATATATTAATGCCTTGGAAGGCTCTCATTTATCACATTTTAGGAGATGAGGGAAATGGATATCCAGGTTCTTGTCTCTGTAATGAGGATTTTGTGTGCTTGTAGGCATTTCATAACATGTAACATGTCTAATTACGATATATTGTCGCAAAGGAATGCTTTGTTTTCTGTTTCAAAAATAAGAGTTTTTCAAGGCTATATTGTAACCTTATTTTGGCATTTATACGGTGTATGCAAGAAGAAATGTCAAAATATCAGACCTCTAAAATTTATTTTACGATTGGAGTACACTCACTTCACATATTTTTCGTTTTTCTAATTTTTAAATCATAACTTTACTAATTGAGAACAAATAAGAAATATTTAACATTAAATATAATATTTTAAATATGAATTAAACACAACTAAAAACAAACAGTCTAAAAACCTAAGAGAGAAATTACCTGCGAATTTTTCTGCGGAATCCAGATTTGCTGCGACATATCCTGCGAAAATATCATTTACATGCGGTATTATCTGCGAATTAATCTATTATACCTGCGATACTTTTCTGCGACTATTTCCTGCGACCTTTTCCTGCGACTTTATTTGCCAAATTTATTATCCACGAAGGTTTTAGCTGTGAAGAGAAAATGGTAGGAAAAACCGCAGGTATCTCCTTTCCTGCGGAAAGTTTGTCAAATTCCGCAGGAAATAGGAGTATTTCGAGTAGTGTGCACACCCCTAATTGAAAGTAACAACCCTACTCTATGCTCGGATATATTATTAGACCAAAGTTTGTTTATTGATTAAAAAAACATAGTTTGTTTGGACAAGTGAAATAACTATAGTCTCTTTCTATAAACATTTTATTTGTAGTATATACTACATACATTAATTATAATAAGTGTTTGTATAAACTATTTTTATATATTCTATAAATTATTTTTATAATTTATTTTGAAAATTTTACGAAAAATAAATTAACAAAATATTTAAAAAATAATTAAATAAGTTTGCGGTCTTTTTAAATTTTAAATATAGCAATTTTTCGTTTTTAAGCTTCTTCTGTTAACGTTCGTTGGCGGAGGATGGCGTGACACATCACGTGACATGACAACATGACAAAAATACTGATACTGATGTGGCATGTCATATGGTAGATTATACCCTTTTACATTAATAAATCAAATAGAGACGAAAAGATTGAACACTAAGTCCGTCACAAAAATTGAAAAACAAAATGAGGATTCATGGTAGAAACTCAAAATTCTTTTTTAAAAAATCAAAATTTGTCACTAAAACTGACACAAAAGATGAAGATTCACGGTAGAAATCATAGATCCGTCACTAAAACCTAGAATCCATCACTAAAACCCAGAATCTGCCAATAAATTAATTCAAATTGTGAATATTAAAAATTTTCATTTTGCAAATAATTTTTTTTAACGCTATAGCATTCATTTTATTTAAAGTCATAATTATATTGACTAATATATACTTTATTAAATAAAATCATTTATAATTTAAATTTTGTAAATATAACAATGAATGGCATAACCTAACACGAAGAAGATATGGTATGTACTTCACGATAAAAACTGGATGACATAGTTAGCGGTGTTCGTGGATTGGGTTGGATCAAATTTGATGAAATCTGATACCCGACCCAATCGATAGTCGTTGGATTGGGTTGACAGTTCAACTCGTACTTTTAAAACTAAATTCGAACCGAACTAACTCACTCATCAATGAATTAGGTTGAGTTGGGTTCGCGGGTCATCCACTAATTTTTTTAAAACTATTATAAATAAAAAATCAATTTAATTAACACATTTATTTTAAATAAACATTAAAACATCATAAAAATTTAGTATTTTATTTGAATAAAATGTATTATTTAATATCTAAAAGTTCTTTTACAATCTAAATCAAGTCCAAAAAAAATATAAAATGTATAGAATATTATTAAAATGGTAAAATATATCACTCTTTCAATAAAGAAATTCAATATCTCAAACTTGATTTAGGTTTAGGTTTTTACAACCAATAAAAACTACAATTCTATTAAAATATGATGTATACATAGTAGGGATTTTTCTAGATTGTTTATAAAAGAAATAAAATAAAAATAACATGACATATTAATGGGTTGGGTTTGCAGATTTGAAATTCTAAACCCGTTACTCGAACCAAATACTAATGGGTTTAAATGGGTTGGTTCGGGTTGGACCGATACATGATTGGGTTGAGTTAAAGTAAGGGTTGAGTTGGTTTGGGTGAGTGGTTTGATCCGTACCCATGAACACCCATAGACATAGTGCAAAAATTACTACTGACAACATCCCGCAAAACACATACATCAACAAATCAAAACATACTTATACTTTATATAATTGGGAATCTACGACCCATCTTATCACACCCACATGTTCTGTCTTATGGCCCTTCCATAACACCTTTGAGCTTATTGAGTTATAGGTTGCTTTTTTTAAAGCCCAATTGGGATTTTCCCAGTCAACAGACCCTTAAGCACAAGGCCTAAGAAGGGAAAAATGATTAGACAAGGTAGACGACAATCCCTTCATGGGAAGAGTTTTACATGTGAGTCTATCATGCAAAACTTATAAAGGTGAGCCCCTCATGTGAGACTTGTAAAGATGGGTTTTTCAGGCGAGACTTGTAAAGAGGAGTCTCTTAGGATAGACTTGTAAAGACGAGTCCCTTAAGAAAGACTTGTAAATGTGAGTCCCTCATACGAGAATTGTAAAGGTTAGTCGCTCAATGAGACTTGTAAAGATAAGTCCCTCAAGTGAGACTTATAAAGGTTAATCCCTCATGAGAGACTTGTAAAGGTGAGTCCACCCCATCTAACTCTTAGGAATTTTCTTTATAGTATCTCTTTTGTTTCCATTTAGAGAGTTTTTGTAACATCTCCCTTCAGAGTTTTTAATGGTAATATTTATGCCTTTTGTGGTATTTTTATTGATTTCATGTAATAGTTGTTCTTTGAGTTGGTGAAAACACCTCTCGGGGCTTAGCCTTGATGGACAACAATAATTTTGAGTCCCGACTCGAACAAAATAGACTCTTAGGGAAGTCTTGACTTCTTAGAAATAAGGCTTGTGAAGGGCAACGCGAATTAAATCCATGAGACTTCAATCTTTTTTTAAATAAGTGCATCCTTGAGATGAAGATTAGGGAGCGAGTTTCTCAAGAATAACCTAGAGGGGAAGTACCTCGAGTAGATCTTGGGGCAAGTCCCTTATGCGTTGCTCAGGTCAAGCCCCTCACATGCATCATTTAATGCTTTAGGTATGTGTGCTTTGTTTTATATTCATATTTTTGTCATTTGTGGGCCTTTTTGTAACCATTCCCTTTGAGATTTATCTTTAATAAAAATGTTCACACCTTTTGGTGATTTGCTTATGACGTTCTTAACATAGTGACTTTTCTGTTATTCATTGTACTTGGGATTTGTTTTTAGAAATGTTCCTCCTTGGGGAGTAGGACATGTCTCCTATTAAGGTGAAGATGATTCCTTATTTGGTGTTAAATGAGTATCTTAATAAGGTGACAATGATCACTAATAAGGTTCCACCAATATTTCCTAATAAGACAAAAAGGATCCCAAATAAGGGTCTACAGTATTGTTGAATAAGGCGACAATGATTCCTTTGTAAGGGTCGAACAATATATTTTGATAAGGCGACAAAGACCCCTTTGTAAACCTCTAATAGTATTGTCTGATAAGGAGACAATGATCTCTTTGTAAGGCTCCATTAGTATTGGCTAATAAGGGGGAAAGAATCCCTAGCGAGAGTCAAACATTGTTGCATGATAATACGACAAGGATCCTTTTGTAAGGGTCTAACAATATTTCCTAATAAGGCAGAAATGACCCTTTTGTAAGGATCTAACAATATTTCCTAATATCGCGCCAAGGTTTCCTAATAAGGATCCAACAATATTGACTGATAAGGCGATAAAGATCACTGATAAAGGTCAAAAAATATTATCTTGTGGAGAATTATGATGTTGCAAAATATTTAGGCTTGATTATTGCTGAGTTAATTTAATTTTTTTCCTATTTTATAGGTGCTATTAGCTAGTTATTTCTGATCGGTTCTACTTCTCCAAAAATTTCTTTAAGTTTGCAGTATAATCAAATCGATGTTCAAAGTTAGTATTTGGAACTTTGGGAGGTTGGGCATCAAAAAGGGAGAGCTCTTCTCTGGTTGTCTCCAAGCTGCTCAAGCAACACTCACAAGCCCCTTTTTGATCTCCTTGGATGATGCTCACTCTGCCATCTATGAACGGGTATTTCAAGATTAAATATCAGGTGGATACGATCTCCCCTAGGGCCTCTATGGCAGGGTGCCCCAGAATGATGTTGTAATGTGACGCGGTGTCCATAATGAGGTAGTTGATGCTGATGGTTTTCATGTCAACTCCCTCGCAGCAGGTGGTTTCCCGGGTCACATAACCCATTATTTACACCCGTTCGCCTGATAATCATGTTAGAAAGCCAATGAACCTCTAAATGTCATCCGAATTTGGTTATAGCTTCTGGAAGAAATCTCATAACAGGATATCGGTTGAACTTCCTGGGTCAATAAATACATGCATGATATCCCACTTGTCGTACTAGATGGTGATAACTAAGAGGTTGTTGGTATCTTCCTTCGACGAAAAATATTGGCTCCGGCTTTCCTATGGTGTGTTCTGAACGACCGAAGGATATGACGTTCACCAAAAACACCAGCCTTACGTATTGTGATACCCCAAATTTTACCCTCAGATTAGTCGATTCATGCCGCATGTCATCTCATTTTTGCATCAGCTAACTACTAACGGGTTACGTAGTCTGTTCGTTTTGCAGGAACCACGTCCGGTACACTTTAGTTGTTAAAAGGGAGAAATGGTTATTTTCATGTTGTTTGCTGACAGTCCTTGAAGTCGAGTCATCATCAAGGATTTATTTAATAATTAGAGCCTCCACTTTCGAGTATTTTATTTTATTTGAGGATGAACAGATATTCACAGTAATCTTGGCATTAGGGTTTTTCTAAGGAGGAAGAGACTGGACTTTGACCAGCCATAACTTTCACATGTTTCATCAAAAA